TCATTGAGCTAAATTTCATCTAACATCTGGCCACTGTATAAATATAGCAATGAAAACATGTCTTGTTGCCTACACATTAGGTATGCATTTTAGAAATCCAATTAGCGTTTCATTCTTTTTGTGCACGTTCCTTTTATTTTCCTTTAGTGTTTGAGCTAATTTCAGACTCCTAAATGGAATTATAAGAATTCAAATATATAGCCAGTGCCTATATAACAGCAAAACCAACTAGATTGGAGTTTAGCACTGTGTGGCGTTTTCCATTCATTGTTAGATGTTCCCTGAAGTTCTTTATTCACTCATGAAATGAGCATTTGTTAAGGGAAATGTCAAGCCTAGGGATCCATACTTAGTATTATGAGATGCAACATAATTCAGGGAGATCAATAAATAATACAAAGTCTTGGCCCTCAAGGAGTTTAGAACTTAGAAGGGAAGACAGACCTACACAAATGATTGCCCTCCAATGTGACAAATGCGATAAGAGAGGTTCATGTCCACCTGGCTCCTGAGGCACCATTTACTACTCGTCGATGGGTTGTACAGGACAAGAATGACTGTCCCCAGTCCTTCCCTGAGGGTCTATCGCCTCTTAAAATTGAGGAGCCCCTCAAACCAAGGACTCAAGGGGGTAAGCCAGTCCTCATGGCACCTATATTATCCATCTGCATAGGCAGGACCTAAGGATGGATCAACTACTTGGCAATAGCACCTTCATTTGAGTCACAGTTGTTTGTCTTCACTTTTAGACTTGTTGTCATGTTAGCTGAGTCTATGAATGAATGAATTTTCAAACATCACCAAGCACCATGCGTACCTTTTAAAACATTAAAACGTTTATTTTCACAAGCTTAGTATGATGAGATACAACATAATTCACGGAAATCAACCACAATGCTAATACTTTAATAGATTATCCCGAATATTAGACATTACAGTTTAAATCTCTTTAACATTAGCTCGAACGTTGGAATAACATTTCCGTTAATAAATGATTGTGCCTATAACCATATGTTCAGTTTATTCTCACCAGTTTATCATGAATTACAATTTCATTGTGATTTGGGTCATAAACATGATCAACTATTGTTTATATGTTTTCATAAATTGCCTGTGTATTTAATTAATCCTGAAGAGAATCTAGAAATATCTCCCAATGGGTTCTATAAATTAAGTACATTTTTTTTAGCTCTTAAATTTTAACATGCCTGGGTAACACTATAATGGCTCTTAAATTTACTTAAGTAATTATTCTACTTGTTGTATAGCATTTATTTGATAATGTATTTTATAAGCTATAGTTATTTTGTGAATGTGTGCAGCCACATGTGTTGGGCCCTGAATTCAATGTCTTCCAGGTATTTCAGAAAAATTATGGGCTTCAAAAGTTACTGTTGCTTGGAGGTGATCTGTGAAGTACCACAATCCCAACGCAAAGAGAGAAAATGTGTGGCAAAGAATGTGTCTTGTTATACTTTCCAGAGAGTAACCACATCTTCCTAATACTTTTGATGCTACAAACATATCATGAAAGACAGAATTACTATTACTATCAGATATAAGATATTCTGCATGTGCATGTTCTATAGAGCTCCTGATGAATTATATCGGCTTTATGCTGTTTGACACGGGCCCTCTCGAGCCCCCAATGCCCTCTTCAGTGGTCACAAAGGTGATTTCTTTGTCCAATGTTGACAGCAAGTAGGGTAATGGGACAGGTTGCAACAAAGGGCCTCGCCAGAGTCAGTTTTAGCATTTGAATTTGCTCCTCTATTTTGGAATTTTCCTGTTCATTTTGGAGTTTAAACCCGTAAGTGAGTTGCCTGGTTTCAGGGCCCAAGAAGAATAATTTTTTTTGCTATTTAGTAATTAATCTAGTAATTAATCAGGCAGCTTAACACCATCATCTATTTTATTCACGTTTCTGTCCTTCCTGTAAAATCTTCAAGACTGAGCGGCAGCTCTAGCCAGCATCCACCAACTGCATTAGGAAAATGGTCAGATCTTCGAAAGTGTAAGAATGAATGAAAAACCTCAAACGGCAGGAACCTTAAAGTTAGGCAACTCCTTCGGCACCAGAGAACACTTCCTTCCAGGGTGGACAGTTCGGACTCCTTGAAGGAAATTCTGTTCTTCAGCAATGAAAACATTCGTTCGAATTCTGGGCCTCAGCTTATTAAAAAACCGCTGAAAACTTAAACAAAGGACTCTTCCCCTGGGAACTCTTTGATAAACTGTGTACACGTTCAGGGTTGGGACCACCTCGCACTTTGGGGCGCTTGCCGTACTTCTCCGAAGGGAAGCGGCGGGTGCATCGTTTCCTGCCTGGGTAGAATTCATTTATGTCCTTCCAGCGCTTTCGCTCTCATCTCCTTTCTGTGTGTCTGTCAGTGGCGCTCTCCTGGGAGCAGCACGAGGCACTTCATTAACAAGAAGGGATTAAAGGAAAAAACCCTAATACTCATGGATACTTTGGAGCCATCCACAGGGCCTAGACCCCTGCTGCAGCCGTGTCATTAGGAAGGTACAATCTCATTCCTTTTTACAGGCAGAGCCTTGAGTGAAACGCAAACCATGCTGTCTCATACGCAGGGAGAAAGGGATAAAGCTTTCATGCCTTCAAAAAGGTAGACTGCGAAAATATTCTTTATGATTCTTACACTTCTATGACCTTCCCCTAGTAGTCCTTGAAATCATGCTTTTATTAAATATTGAACAACATAAAGATTAAGAGAAAATTATTCATATTCTCACATCCCACAGGAAATGTATATATTTTTATTAACTAACACGTGCTTTGAATACCTACTATGTGCCAGCCACTCTGTTAGCTGCTGGAAAACGAAGTACAAAGACATCATTTATGCTTTTCCTCAGCACTGACTTACTGAATGCCTAACAGAAGTGCGTGGAAAAGAGGTAAAACATGGCCGAGTGAAGTGATGGTGAGCCAATGAGCTGTAAGAGGCTGGGAAGATCTGCTTCGCTGTCCTTCTTCGCCCATTTTTGAACTGAGATGTTTGCAAATGACCTTTTGAGCGGAACCACCAGCGATTCTAAGTCGTCAGTGGTATCGCACACACATTTAAGAAGGCTGGTGTGAAGCATCCTTAGCATCGAATCTAGTTCCTATAGATGCTCCGCAAACAGGAAGCTACCTGCATCACCTCAGAGGGTGTGGTTGGCCACACCTGAGAAAGGGGCCTGGGATTTGGCACCTGCTGCAAAAAAGTGCCAGTGGCCGGGCCGGCGTGGCTCAGTGGTTGAGCGTCGACCTATGAACCAGGAGGTCAGGGTTCGTTTCCGGTCAGGGCACATGCCATGTTGTGGGCTCCATCCCCAGAAGGGGGGCGTGCAGGAGGCAGCCGATCAATGATTCTCTTTCATCATTGATGTTTCTATCTCTCCCTCTCCCTGCCTCTCTGAGATCAATAAAAATATATTTTAAAAAAGGCCAGTGGCCCTCCCGGGCACAGCACCGGGGTGATGACTGCCTGGGAACCTCGCACATCACGTGTCACGTTCCTAGCACCGCAGAGAATCAGGTTTAATAGTGGTCCATTATCTCACGGCTACAGACACAGCTGCATTAGCGCTGAGATGCGGCGCACAGTTGGAACTGCGTGCGCGAGAAGAAAGCCCTTGACGATCAGCTATTTACCAGCCATTCTTCGCCGTGATCACATTTTGCCGCACGACGGGCTTTTGTTCAGTGGAAGCGCCGTTTGCAGCGCTCTGTCTACGATAAAGGAGAGCCGGCCCGGCTAAGATGATAGAAACTGGGTCTTGCAGAGACCATTCTACTGACAGTGAGGCCAAGCAGCCCAGGAAAAAACAAACTACTTTGACAAATAAACAAGTCGGTAAGGAAAATACTGAAAAAGCGCGTTGGGCTATGTACAGTATCCCTCCTAGTGAAAGACTGGTCATCTACTCGGCCTTGAACACAGGACGCTCTGCTGTCCTCACCCTTTTATTTTACAGTCACGCTGTTCCTTGTCTCTCACGCGTGTTCACTCATTAGATACCATTGCACCCACAGCGACGATAATCAGCGCATCCCAGGAGAAGGGAGGCAGCAGCAGAGGCCGGGACTAGGCGGGGCCAGGCCACACCTTCTCGAGCGGACAGAGCTTACTAGTCAACAAAAAGCCCAAACTCGCCTATTACGTTCTTGTTATCAAAAATAGGTCTCGGCTAATGTCTATCTATAGATAACCAAAGTTACAAACAAACAAAACCCCTAGTTTTGCCAATAAATTAAAAATAAAAAGTAAGCAAAGTTGTTAGGTTAAAAGCGTAGCCTGTCACCCCCACGCGGTGGATTCGAGGATGTGCACTGAAAACAGAACGACGACCTGATACCAGAATTCAGGTTTCCTCTTTCCTATGGTTTCTGTGTGATGGTTCTTTTCTCCCGCCCTCATAAGGTCTCACGAATCGGTTTGTCCTGAATCTCAATAGATGTCTCTTACGATCTGGATGTTTTCGAGCTAACACATATATAGGGTTTCTGAACATTCTTCCCATTTTGGGTTTTAGTTCACATTACCGTAGGCATGAGGAGGAGGAAGGACTATTATGAATTGGAGTTGGGGGTTAAAGTTTGGTATTTGAAATATAAATGGAAATAGTCCATTAGCAATGGCCCTTGTTAATGTGTCCTTTTGCCGAGGTAGTTTGTGAGGAAGGGACTGCTCATGAAAAGCGCCTGCTGGATTTCCTCTGAGTGCGCATGACTCTGTGACGCACTGTACTTTGCCACTGACAAACTTGATTTAATGGAACAAATACTCAAATGAGAACTGATGATACCAATTTCCTGGTCGAGGAGGAATAAGCAGATAGGTTTGCCTATATTTTCTGTCAGGTAAGACTTAACCAGAACCTGATACGCACTTTAAATTGATTACTAATGAGTGGCAAGTAGATATACTACACGCATATTTGCTTTGGGGGGAGGGAGGGATACTTGTAAAAGATTTCTTTTTTTAGATTTGGAATTCACAATAGGTTTCTTCCGTTCCTCCTTAGTAAAGAATGAAATACTTGTTAGCTAGACTGAGTAACGTGACATGAGACACGTCTACCTTATAACAAGTCTGTTTCCTTAATGGGCGGGAGGACCTCTGCGGGCAGCTCTAAGGGCTCGCGTCTGCTTTCAGTGCCATCTTCTAGTCATACGGAGGACAGCACCTCTCCCGACGGGTCCTTCCCCTTCTTCTCCTCGCCCCGGTCCATGTCAATCACGTGCACCACTCCGGGCTTGAGGATCAAGTCATCGGCCTCTACCTGGCTCCGGTTGTCCTCCACCTCCATGTAGCTCCCTTTGGTTTGCTGAGCAGCCTTGCTGAAGGCTTCTTTGAACCGACGTTTGAGTTCAACATCTGGACAGAAGACATACTCGTACAGGCCACCAGCAAGGACAGCTCCTATTATTGGTCCAACCCAATATATCTGGGGAGAAGAGGGAGGGGTTAGAGAATTCACACAAAAAAAAGTCACTCCTTTGAACAACTCCTGCAGATAGAATTTAGCTGGCTTAAGTTAAGAGAGGGTCATGTGCAGGCCATGGGTAACGGGGCATTGTACGAAAAAGAGAAGAGCTGGACAGAATAAAGGAAAATACGTCAAATCCATGTCAGAGAGCCATCGTTAAATGACATTTGAACAGAAAATAAGAAAAGGCTGTTTTCTCTTTTCCTGTCATGAATGATTTTCTTTGCATTGTCTGATGATCACTGAAGTACAGGTAGCTCCTCCCTGGTGAGACTGCATATAAGCGGACATAAGAATTCTTCCACTAACACAAAAAGGTTCCGGCGAGGGCTTTTCTCGTTTTCTTAATGCCACCTCACACCGGCTTCCTGCTGCTCAGTCACAGCACAGATCTAATCGGGAGCTGCAGTTGTCCGGCGCAGCATGACGAATGGGCTCTCAGCTCCCCGCTCAGCTCCTGTGCGTGTTCGCATCAGAGACTTCACTTCCTAAACCTTAATTTCCTCACCGACACAGCGGGGTTATAATAACACATTCCTCATGGGTGCAGGGTTGAATGGAAATGGATTGAAACTTAATTACGTGCTTGTAAATACTGAATAGTTCCGGGTGCACAGTAACCTGCCCCATTCCCTGTTTCCTAGATGATTTAAAGGCGCATGTGTCCAGGCTGGCTCTGCTAGTACGTCACCTCCGTTCATGTCACGTGCTTTTCCTCTCTAAAATGTGGTGATGTGATTTAATGAACACCCTCCCGGTTCCTCCGTTACCCTTCTCGCAGAGCACCTGCTCGCCCTTCCTTCCCAGGTGACGTGGAGAAGAACCCTGGACCGAGTTCACGGATGCTGGTTAGCTGAGGATGAGCAAGCAAGTCCGTAGGGATTTTAATTCAATACATGAAAGCTTTTACCATATCACTTCTGTATCTAGAATAAAGTTTTGAGTTTGGGATAAATGTCAACATCGGCTTTAGAGCACATGTAGGCTGTGGAATATTAGACATTCATTCGAGAGATGCACATGGGCTGCCCTAGCCGGTTTGGCTCAGTGGATAGAGCATTGGCCTGAGGACTGAAGGGTCCTGGGTTTGATTCCAGTCAAGGGCACTTGCCCAGGTTGCGGGCTCGATCCCCAGTAGGGGGCGTGCAGGAGGCAGCCGGTCAATGATTCTCTCTCATCATTGATGTTTCTATTTCTCTCTCCCTCTCTTCTTTTCTGAATCAATAAAAAAAATTTTTAAAAATGTTTTTTTAAAAAAAGAGAGATTCACATGGGCAACAGAAACCCTGTTCACTGGGCACCATCTCTGAGCCAGCTGTACTTTGTACTTTTCTCATATCCACTCATTGAACCCCAACGATACCCTTTGAGCTATAGATGTAATTATAATTCCCATTTGACCAGGAAGAAAACCGCCTCTCTGAGAGGGTAAGAGGCTTGCTTCAGAGTTCATGCCTAGCAACCAGTGGAGCTGGGATTTCACCGCTCTTTTGAGCTATTATATTGTTTCCACTGTACAGTCTTCTCATTGGAAAAAAAAAGTGATGAATGACTCTGGCTTAAAACACTCTCTGAAAATTAATATCAGCATCCTCACTGCAAAATCTAAAGAGAAGCCACACTTTCAGCTAAAGCTGAACACATGTACTTAACAGGGAGACAGGGTAGAGCGGTTACAAGAACCAGGTTTCTCACCTCCAACATGAAAGAAACCGTGTGAGAGCGTACCTTCTCCAGGCTCTTTCAAAGGAGCCCCCCTGACTGTCTTTACTCTTTGTTCCTTTGGTAGAGTCTCCTTGGATATATTTACTCCACAAGCTACAAGTCCCACAGGGAGACTAGAGACGCAACGTAATCACCACACTTCCCCCGAACACCTGTGAACAAGGCATCTAGCTGCATGTGCTAACAATGAACAGATCTGAATTTCAAACGGCTATTTCAAAACAAAGGCTTAAAGTATGTTTTAAGCTATAAAGGAAAATAATTTTGTTCTTAAAAATACAGAAAAGTATAAAAAAGAAAACTAAGATAATGTCATTACTATTTTGTTGTTACTTCTAATCTATGATCTATCTATATCTATCTATTTATCTATCTGCAGATATACTTTAACTTAGTTCTAAATTTCACACACCGTTGGACATTCACTTTCAGTAGGAGTAAGTTTGTTATAAAATAACAGGGAGAAACTTTGATTCAATCAATAGCTAAGAATTTTCCTACTCTTTAAATCATCACTAGTTTACCACACCTAACAAGTAATTAGTAAAAACCTATTTTCATCTACATTTTAAAGTCCTCATAAATTAAACTGAAAGTTGTCATTTTTTTCTAAATTTTATTTATAAAAAATAGTTTGAATTAAAAAGGTTAGGTTCAACTAAAAGTTGTGTGGTTTTCATAAGATCTATATACTATCCATGAAAAAATTTCCATTCCCGCTGCTGTGGCAAATTTGTTGAGGCACAGATTTAGAAATATCAGTGGCCAAATAACCAATCTGATGGGTAGTACTGTTGAAAAGTCTTTGCCTGTCTCAGTCCTAACTCTTGCTGTTGAACACCGACTCACAGGTCATTCACTGGTGTGGATTTCCTGTAAAAACGCAGTGTAGACTGTGGCTGAGCGGTGTGACTGGGCCAGGAACCACCCCGTGCCCGAGGCTAAAACACAAGTGACGTTCCTTTATGTTCACAAACGGAAAGTTGTAGAACAGCACTCACAACATATAAGTGACGATAAGAGTTAGCCCCGTGTGAGGCTGGCTCGCACGCCTATTTGTTTTGCTTATTGTAAGTTAGTGTGTGAGTGGCCGCTAAGCTGCTATATTATTCATTTAAGGAATTAACATTCCTTTTTGTAAGACACAATAGAAATAAAATTGGTTGTGATATTTAAAAACAGGCACCCCCGCTCTCGGAAGCACCGCCAGCGCATCAGCAGGTAGGCTAGGCCGGGCTGAAAGCTGGCCTTTCCTGAAAGTCACTTATTTTTCCAGCTGAGGCTCCGGTGATAATAGTGTAAACGTTTGCACCATTCAGTCCTCGCCATCTGCACTTCAGATGCTTCCAACTTGCATCCTATTAATTGGGTTCACGCTTTTGTAAACAAAAAAGATAGCTGTTTTTGCTACGGGCAGTGCTTTTAAGCATTTCATTCTTTTCTCCTCCTTCATCTTCTTTCTGCAAGTGTATTTTCTGTTATTGCCAGGAAAGCTTTACTTTCAATTATTTAAAAACCATCTCCTCTCCACTGTCCTGATTTTAACTGGTTCCACATAGACAACCTCCCTGTGCAACGCATTCTGCTGTAGTCTGTCAGACACAGTGCCCAGAGCAGCGCTTAAAAAAAAAAAAAGACTATTACTGAGGCTCAGAGCAGATATAAGAGGAGATGTTTTGCCACGATCTGCGCTAGTCTCTCTTATGAAAAATGTAATCAATAGGGGGTCAAGGTTGGGAGGAAGTACGAGAAACGAGTGAGAAAAACAATGAAAGAAATAAAGAGCTCCCTGGGTAACGGTCCCCAACACGATAGTTACCCAGTGGTTTTCCCAGATTCCCATGATCACCGCAGGGCCGAAGGATCGGGCGGGGTTCATGCTGGCACCGGTGTAATTGATCTGCAGGGAAAAAGAAAGCAATTCAGACTTTGGTTAACAGTCTGCTGACTGGTCTCCTTCATTGAGATTTGCTGCCATTTGCAATGCTAAGTGCACTGTCAAGACGCTCGCTGCCATATCAACATCCTCGTGGAAAAGTTGGTAAAACCATCACCAAGAAGGGACAGACATGGCCGGAGTGTAAAGGACTACAGCTGTTAAACACAACATTTTCAGGCCAGCTCTAGGGCGAGGCTAAATGAAATGGATCAATTATTCAAATGGACTTGGAAACTTACTGCAAATAAATGTCCAATGGCAACAGAAAATCCAATTGCTAAAGCGATGGAGCCAGTGACATCAGTCCGTTTGGAGTCACAGCTGGCAAAAATAGTAAACACCAACTGAAAGGTAATGATCAGCTCCACCAGGAGACCGTGGCCTGCAGTGAGGTTCCCGTGAACCTAGAAGGAGAAGAGCACTCCGTCTGAGCTGAAGCAGGAATACATTTTCGATGGCGACACAGCATTGTGAAAGGCATATTTCATCCGTATAAAAGCAATGGTGGGCATACGATTTCACTTATATGTGGTCTCTACAGAACAAAATAAAGCAACAAAACAGAACCAGACTCAGAGATACAGAGAACAGACTGACGGTTGACAGTGGCGGGGGTGGGGGGTGGGAGTGGGGAGGTGGGGACTGGGTGAAAAGGTGAAGGGATTGAGAAGCATAAATAGGTCGTTTCTGAATAGTCACAGAGATCTAAATGACAGCACAGGGAGTAGAGTCAACAATCTATAATAATAAAAGTGTAATATGCTAATTAGACCAGACAGCCGAGCGACCGTCCAGCCGTCCTTCCAGATGACCTTCTGGACGAAGCCGGGGCTGTGGGGGCCAAGGCAAGCCGTGAGGGCCAAGCCCCTTGCACAAATTTCGTGCACCGGGCCTCTAGCATCGAATAACTATGTATGGTGCCAGGTGGGTACTTGAAATACAAGGGGGGCCACTCTGTAAAGTACATGAGTGTCTAACCACTCTGCTGTACACCTGAAACTAATACAAAAGAATCTTGAATGGGAACTGTAATTAAAAAAACAAGCTGATGGCTGAGTCTTCCACCCCACTCCCAACTGAGACACTGCTCCCGTCCCCCCCAAAAGAAGGCATGAATTTCCACTCATTTGGGGCAATCACGGGTAATTAATTACTCTTACAATGACCAAGCAGGAGTCTGTGCTGAATGTTTTTTCTACAAGGGAAGCAAAATGTGCCACTGCTCTACTTAACTTATAAAAGAGTTTCTTGAGAGTCTTGTAATTTTATAAGGAAATGATTAAATCCATTAATTAGATTTAAATTAATTAATATATTTCAATTAAATTTTAAACCCTGTGTGTGTGTGTTTTAAATCAACTCTGGTGCTGAGCTAACAAACAATAATCCTAACCAGCTAAGAGCCAAGCTAGGTTCAAATGCCAACGTACTTTTTTAAGTGTGACCCTTAACATAGATCATTTAAAATTTCACAAACATGGCAAGAAACAAATGGTTTCTTCTGCTAGTGAACCAACCAATAATGGTAATAAAAGTGTCTTATGCTAAATGTATAGTTGGTGTAGTCACTGGGGTGGGAGAGAGAGAAGGAAAAACCCACACAAATTTTGTGCCATCAAGACAGTAATTTTTCAAGTCACTTAATAGCAAACAAGGATTTCATATGGATGCATGCAGCGTTGCCAGAACCAGCTCATCATGGATCATCCGAAATGCCCTGAGAATAAATTAGCCATTTTAGGAAGATCTCTCAGGCCCCC